GTATCAGAGGTTCATTTAGAAATTCAAGAAATTCTAAAAATAATTTTGAATTTTTAGTGAATGAGCTATTTATCTGAGCCTGTACTAACTACAAAAACCATTAGGTTGTCAACACTTGACAGCGATTTCTTATCAGACTGCCAGGTATGGTCTCAAATAGACAAAATGCTAGGCAGTCAAGAAATATTTCAAACCTTCTAATACAAAATGTCACTCAAACCTGCCAAGTGTTTACAGTTTGTTTAGAAATGCAAGCTAGGGGATTCTAAAAATCAGTTTGCCTTTTGAGTGGATGAATTTTCTGAGCTTAAGTATACCCTAACAAGTCTGTTCCAAAATATATTGCAAATTCATCAACAAATAAATTCTGTGAAAATCTCTGACTGCTGGGCATTGATTGCATTTAAAAATGTACCTAGCTTATCCACATTTAGACAAAGAATTTTCTTTCTTTTATTTTTTTTATTTGTTAATTCTTTTCCTTTTTATCTTTTGATGACTTTCAATTTGGGGGTTTGAAAATTAAGAACAGACCATTTTGGAGTTAAAAACCTTCGTGTCATAAGCTTATTTCATGGGATTAGCATAGTTTTAAATTTTTAATTAGAAATTAAACACGCGTGGTGAGCCTTCTGTCAAGATTTACGATAGGTACACGCACATGTACCTCCCTCGTCACCTCCCGCGAAACCTCCCCCAGCACCTCCCCCCTGTCGATTATTATGCGAAACGTAATGTGATATTTTTTCTTGTGGAATAAATCAGCCATTTTTCACTGCGTATGGAGCGAAACTTTGCCAAATCACCGTTCGGACAGGCAGAAAAACAAGTAACATTTCCTATTTCCAAATATTAACACTCCTCGAAAAAATCCCGCCTCACCAGGAATAACATTTCTATTTTGTTTTCAGTGGGTAAGCATTGGATGAATTAGTTTACATCGTGTTCGGTCACAAACTCAACTCGCAAAAGAATTCGCAGAACTGAGGTTTTGAAGAGTTTCTTCCATTCGAGTCACATAAATCGATCGGATCATAGTCCAGTTGACGAGAAACGATAGTGAGTCAACGCCACAGAGATTGAGGCCTGTTTACATTGCGACTTTGACCCGCGAAAAATACCTCTCTCGAAGCGAGGCTTTGCATACTTTTAATAAACACACCCGTATTGTTTGGTTCCCTTCCAGTCTGTTGATCGCAGAAATACTACGGATTTCAAAATAACTTCATCAATGCACATTCGCGTGATCCAAAAATATTTCGCTGTGAAACTAGCAGGCAAACAAAACGGAGCGAACAGGCTAAGGGACGGCGTATTGCAGGGATTACTATTTTTAACGCATGGGCGCGTTTGAATTTTGTTTGTACATAACTTCAAGAATCATGTTATTGTGTCAGTCGGGTACTTCTAAAGCTCTTTTCTATAAGTACACAATCACCTTACCTGAAAGAGACCAACAAACAACCAAAGAAGCCACTAGAAGTCTGTATTCCATCACATTCGCCATTCCGCATCGTTACTTGTTTCAATCAACTTGTGAGAGGCGCGTGTGGGTAGACACGTGATAGAGTAACCCGAGACAACATAGAATATACAATTTTTTCAGCAAATTAATTTATAAGAATTGATTAATCCTCTCGAAGACAGTCGATGGAATTTGGGTTCTTTGATATTCACATTGTAGAGAATAATAGAATCGTTGGCTTCGGTCGAACTTTCGGTATAAGATCATAAAATTAACCCTAGTTCTACAAGTGGGCACGACTCACTGACTTTTTTAAAACCTCTTGCGACTTTACGAAATACTAACGTTCCTTCCCATCAACTTCCATTCTTTCCTGTGTGTTAGACTATATTCTTTAATCGTTGTTTTTTAACATAAGTTTTTTTTTTTCACTTTTTAAGTTGAAGAATGAACACTTCCATCGAACAACTTTTAACAAATACTAAACGGAAGTGGTTACGAAATGGCATATCCCATTTCCCCGAAAGATCAAAGGATCGATGCAGCCATATGTCAGTGTGTGTAGATTTCAGTAGGTGTGTACATTTCACCGAGTATCACTGCCGCAATCGAGGAGCGGATTGTAGTATAAAGAAAATTAAAGCAAATAATTATACTCTAAGTTAACTTCGCAATTTCTTAAATTCGTTCAACTATTTAGGAGGTGTAATTCGGATATATCAACAAAGTTGAAATGGTAAATTGGCCACCGTAACGATTACAAAAGCTGACGTTTCGAGCTTTAGCCCTCCGTCGGAGCGAAGGGCTAACGCTGCGACGAAGGGCTAACGCTCGAAACGTCAGCTTTTGTAATCGTTACGGTGGCCAATTTACCATTTCAACTTTGTTGATATATCCGAATTACACCTCCTAAATAGTTGAACGAATTTAAGAAATTGCGAAGTTAACTTAGAGTATAATTATTTGCTTTAATTTTCTTTATACTACAATCCGCTCCTCGATTGCGGCAGTGATACTCGGTGAAATGTACACACCTACTGAAATCTACACACACTGACATATGGCTGCATCGATCCTTTGATCTTTCGGGGAAATGGGATATGCCATTTCGTAACCACTTCCGTTTAGTATTTGTTAAAAGTTGTTCGATGGAAGTGTTCATTCTTCAACTTAAAAAGTGAAAAAAAAAACTTACGTTAAAAAACAACGATTAAAGAATATAGTCTAACACACAGGAAAGAATGGAAGTTGATGGGAAGGAACGTTAGTATTTCGTAAAGTGGCAAGAGGTTTTAAAAAAGTCAGTGAGTCGTGCCCACTTGTAGAACTAGGGTTAATTTTATGATCTTATACCGAAAGTTCGACCGAAGCCAACGATNCAAACAGTTTCTTTCGAAACTATCAGCCTTTATTTAGGAGGTGTGCTTTGGTGGAAGTTTGACCAGACTTGAAAAGAAGGAAAAGTATTGCTTTCCACCGTAAATTTTACAAAGCCGTCGACTTGATGAGACTTCTGAAGACTCTTGAAGACTAAGAGAGAAAAAAGTGATAACCATAAAGGTATAACACAGACAGTTCAACAGAAATATCAATGATAAAAGAACTCAGGATGGCACAGCACGAAGTATTTGGAGCTAATACTCGTGGTTGACCCTTGTAAATTTTTAAAACTTGTAGGGCTGCCATGTGATTTTAAGATCTACAGCTGTCGGAAAATTATGCTTTGTGATGTATGCATGGATGGAAATAGACGTCTCTACCATGTATGTTTAACGGTTGAGACGTGATAACTTACTCGGTGAGCGCTTGTGTTTTGGAACACTTTGAATACCAAAGCGAGCCACTTTTTCACGCCTGTTCTTTTTGTCTGTTTTTGTCATTCAAGTTCTCCTATCGATGTTCTGTCCTAAAAGAAGAATAATTAGGACGTCGTGGTTTTTGATAAAAGCGAGGAATTCGAAGGAGACAAATCTTTTCTTGTAATTCGAAGCTCCAATGAGGAAAAATCTGATAAGTTTGATCGATATTTTTGCAGTAGAAAGCGAAAATTTATTTGCACACAGATATCTCAAAATTATTATTGTGAGAAAGAAAGCTTCTATTTGAGGTTAGCAGGGATTGACCTGTCGCGAATTTTGCTCCGACTGTTTTCATTTTGGTTATTTATTGTTGAATAAAAAGGAAGCTAATAATGCTTTAACTTAACTGATAATTCACGAGGAACTCTTTAGTAAAAGCTCGCATGATATCCGCGCGCTTTAGATGTGCCCCAAGTAAGTTATGATATCATGCACAACAAATTAAGCACGCACGTGACGTAAAGCACGTGCTCAGATGCAGGTGCAATGAACATGCACTAACCAATCGCAGGCTTGAAGAAAGGACTACCTTTAACGACGAAATTATCATATTCCTTTCAAGTAATATTCCTATGGGAGAGCAAAATTGACGCAACCGAGAGCCCATTTGACAGAAGTTTCCAATGTCTTAAACAAAGAAGAATTTTGTCTTCAGTCGGTTGGATCACACCAGATGGAAGCTTACCCTTTGCTACGGTCGTCCTTCGCAGTTAAGTGCCCGAACTGGTGTATTTGCTTACAGATCAAGTAGCAGCAAAAACTCTGGCCAACAAAGGTATCCAAGTAGCTGTTGTTTACAGTAAAGCTAAACAAGTTTATTAATGCAATTTTATCTGTCTATAAGTCTTTAACAACTATACTTTGCCATCTGAGAAATTCAAGTAGTTTACTGGTTGGCACTCTCAGCTTCGCACCTTGTTTCTTTGGAGGTGTTTTTCTAAGAGGAAAAAATGTGCTTTGTAACATGCTAAAAAAAACTTGTTACTGATTCGCATTGACATGTATAGACATGCGTTAACAGTTTGTGTGCAAGCGTTATGCTGATGGTGACGCTTTATGATTGCACTCGCTCGAAATTTAAGCTTTCATAGAAGCTTATAGATAAATGAAACATCAGTTATTTTCTTGAATGCTACAAAAATGTTCAAGTTTGGTTTGTCAGTCACATAATTATTATAAACACGTTCGTTTCGGAGAAAACATATCGGAATATTTTCCACAGTGTTGTAAATTAATTGGTGTAACGTGTAAAGAGTTCCGATTTCGTACGTGGCAACAGTAGTTAGTTTGCAGTGCTATATTGCTTCTGCTTTCTTTTATTTGAATAACTCGTTTTGTTTTGGCAGGTTTTTAGTTCAGTATTGCACCCGCCGAAGACCCATGCAGTGGTCAGTTCTAAAAGGGTTTTTCCTCGGAGAAAAAAAGTCTTTTTGAAAAATAGCTCCCACCAGAAACGGAAATAACTATCTTGAAATATGCGGGAAGATAAATAAAAGACTACCATGAAAGATGAAAAGGTCTTGAATCTGCAGTGTATCATGTTGAAGAGCTTCTTTGCGAGCGTAACAATAGGCAGAGTATCTTCTCTTACTACTACGAGCTCGAGATTTACTTACTTATCCAGAAGTCCGTGCTACCATATTAAAACTGGGAAATAGCACTTAGCTAGCACTAAGATGTTATTATTACGCTATTATGTTATTTTATCAAATAAGGTCATGAGGACGTGCAAAATATACCATGGCCTTACACTGGAGAACAGTGCAGAAATACTGAGCTACATATATTGGTCCCACTAAACGATTTAAACTTTGGTTTTTTTTTCCTTATTTTAAGGGAACGAAGTTTTAGCGCGACATTTTTTTCGTGGTCACAAAGAAGATGAAAGCAAATTCAAGATGGCAAAGCATTTTTTTTTACCTAGCGACAAGTAAATACATGTATTTTCTTCAGGCTTTAAAACAACAGTTGAGATGACCAAAGCAAGAAGGTCATAGGTTATTTGTAAGCTGTTACTACGGAAATAAAGGTAACTTCTATGACCGCTACCTCGCTTTAATTTATACTATGCCAATTAATATACAGCCAATAAGAACTGAAGATGTCCGTTGTATATTCAACGGCCTTTTAAACCGAGCTTTGCCATTGTGCTGTACAATCCTAATCCTGTGGAGATTTATTAATAAGCAGCGTCAGTCCTTACGCGCCTCGTCGGCTATTTACCATCTCATATCCAACGCACGCTCCATGGAATAAAAGTTAAATCTCCACTGAACCGAAATTGTGACAACATAAATTTATGGCCACAGAGTGAAAACCTATTCTCGACGGCTGAAAACGAAAACCATTGCATATGAAAATGCATAAAAGTTTCTCAGACCCCCCACCCCCCTCTCCCCCAGTAGATAATGATGACCGGTCCTTGGACAGAGTCAGACAGAGTCAGAGTTGACGTCAGAACAAACATTTCCCACTCGAAGTCATGTGACATGCCACCAGGTCTCCGCCCGGACGTATGTTCATTTCAGGCTTTCGAGCGGCAGGCTTGGTGAGAATGTCTTCGTTTAGTTTTGCTTTTTTTGCTCGCTTTTTTCAGGCTTCATGTGATTTTGTTCTCTAATCGATAATTACATCGTAAATAAAAAAACTAGGTTTGTTATGTATGCCACCGTTCATGCTGTTCGATCACAGGCGGCCCAAGCTCTCTTTAAGAACCACACAAGGAACACAATTTGCATATCGATTTATAAGGATTTGTATGGAATTTTCTAAAAGATAGCCATGGAGATAACTAAGAGTGAAAATATTAAATAAAAATGGCTTACCTTATTCCATAGTGTGTTTTTTGCTCCTGGTGTCGTTATTTTACCGATTTAACTTGATTTAAGTGGTTTTTTTAATCCTGGCTTTCTCTTCTTACCGCCTCCCGGTTAGCTCAGTTGGTTAGAGCGCTGGACTGTTATGCGGGAGGTCGAGGTCGATGGTTCGAGCCCCGGCCGGACCAACACTCAAGGTCTTAAAATAACTGAGGAGAATGCGCTACCTTTCTTTAATAAGAAATAGATAGATATTCTAGTCTTCTCGGATAAGGACGAATAAACCGTAGGTCCCGTCTCCTGCATCTATTAATTAGATAATTTGGTTAGGCAGGGGACGTTAAAGAACCCACTCACGAGATTACTGTGATGTGGTCTGGCCTGTTTACTGGGAATTGGNAGTTGTTTGACACTGTGGACCCTAGGTAAGTAAAAGAGTCTACCACCTCCAGTTCATTATTGTCGATTGTAATGACGGGAGGTGTCAGTGCATCTTGGGCAAGGATGTTCGTCTTCTTTAGGCTGATGGTAAGGCCGAACTCTTTGCAGGCGTGAGACAGCTTATCGACCAAGCGTTGGAGGCCTGCCTCGCTGTGAGATGCCAGGGCAGCATCATCTGCGAACAGCAGCTCGCGGATGAGCACCTCAAAGGTCTTCGTTTTGGCGCGGAGCCTGGCAATGTTGAAGAGCTTGCCGTCTGCCCTTGTCCGAATGTATACACCGTCCGAAGAATCGGCAAAGGCATACTGGAGTAACATCGAGAAGAAAATCCCGAACAGAGTTGGTGCCAGAACACAGCCCTGTTTTACTCCACTTCTGACTGGGAAGGCATCCGAGGTGGCTCCATCAAAGCAGACGGTGCTCTGCATGTCCTCGTGGAAGGCGGCGATGATGGCAAGGAGTTTCGGTGGGCAGCCGATCTTCTGAAGTATCTGGAAGAGCCCGCTTCGACTTACCAAGTCAAAGGCCTTGGTCAGGTCCACGAAAGCGAGGAACAATGGTTGCTGCTGCTCACGACACTTCTCCTGCAGCTGACGGAGGGAGAAGATCATGTCCACTGTGGACCTGGCGGCTCTGAACCCACATTGGGATTCTGGGTAAACTCGTGAAGCGAGACTCTGTAGGCGACTTAGAGTGACACGCGCAAAAACTTTGCCTACAATGCTGAGGTGTGAGATGCCGCGATAGTTATTACAATCGCTTCGGTCACTCTTGTTTTTGTAGAGGGTGACTATACTTGCATCTCTCATTTCTTGTGGGATGTACCCTTTCACCCAGCATTGGCAGAGGGGCTCGTGAAGTGGCTGGAGGATGGAAGGCTTGCCGTGCTTTAGGACTTCTGATGGTATGCTGTCCTTCCCTGGCGCCTTGCCACAGGCAAGGTTGTCGACGGCTTTGCTGAGCTCCTCCAGTGTGGGCATTTCGTCAAGCTCCTCCATGACTGGTAGTCTGGGCAAGGCATCAAGAGCAGCGTCGGTCACGATGTTCTGGGTCGAGTAGAGTTCGAGATAGTGCTCGACCCAACGCTGCAGCTGCTTGCTCTGGTCGGTGATGACTTCGCCAGACCTCACTTTGAGCGGTGCTGTCTTGATGCTCGTGGGGCCAGTGGCTGTCTTGATCCCCTCATACATCCCTCTAGTATGACCCCAGTCGGCAGCTGTCTGGATCTTGGCGCACAGGCTCTGCCAGTACTTGTTAGCACAGCGGCGGGCGGTCTGCTGGGCCTTGCTCTTAGCTGCTCTGAGAGCGTCGCGTGTGCTGTGGCAAGGGTTCTGCTTGTAAGCCAGAAGGGCTATCCTTTTGGCTTCCGTGACTGGCTGCATTTCTTTCCAGTGCGCCTCGAACCAGTCAGCATTCTTGTGTGCTTTTCTTCCGAACGCAGACATGGCCGAGTCGTAGATAGCATCCCGGAGGTGACACCATTTGGCGTCCGCGTCATCGGTTGTAGGCTGGTTAGCAAGCTTTTTCTGAAGGGTCTCGACGAAGCTCTGAGCCTTGGCTGGGTCGGCAGTAGCGCAGGTGTTTATGCGGGAGCGACCCTTTGTCTTGGCGTGGTGGATCTTACACGGCCTCAGCCTGATCTTGCTGCCAACAAGGGAGTGGTCTGTGTCACAGTCTGCGCTGTTGTAGCTTCGCGTGTGGAGGATGCTGCAGAGGTCTCCTCTCCTGGTAATGACAAGGTCAAGCTGGTGCCAGTGGCGGGACCGGAGATGTCTCCAAGACACTTTGTGCAGCTCCTTACATTTGAAGTAGCTGTTGGTGATGCAGAGGCCATGGTGGCAGTAGAGTTCCAACAGTCTCTGCCCATTCTCGTTTAACTTGCTAACACCGAAATGGCCGAGACAGGCGGGCCATGCTTGCCAGTCGGATCCAACGCGTGCGTTGAAGTCGCCTAGCGGGTATACGCTTTCGGAGCGGGTATTTGGGACACTGTTTCCTCCAGGGCTTCGTAAAACTGATCTTTGGCCTCTGTGCTGGATGTGAGGGTCGGGGCGTAAACAGACAGGAAGTTGACAAACCCTGTAGTTGTCTTCATGCGGAGGACTAGGATTCTTTCGCAGCCTTCAGTCGGCGTTTCTGTGGTGGCGAGCAGCGAGTTCCTCACAGCAAAACCTACTCCATGCTGCCTCGGCTCGTCCAGGGACAAGCCTTGCCAAAATAAGGTGTAGTCTGATTCTCTAAGAGAGCCACTGTCGGCCAGCCGAGTCTCCTGGAGACAGGCAACGTCGATGTTAAGCCGTGTCAGTTCCTTGTTGATGATGGCGGTCTTGCGGGAGTCGTCTATCTGTTGAAAATCAGCAGAGATACCAGGGCACATAGTGCGAACATTCCAGCTTGCGATACGAAGAGCTGGAGTCTTGTTAATGTTTTCTTTTTGTGACTGCCTGGTGCAAAGTTGTGACTCGCTTGTCGGGGAGGTCCCCTAAGCCCTACGCACCCAGTAGAGCAGGCGAGCCATGGCGGGGCCGCACCTTATTGGCTGGGGGCTTCCCAGCTTGAGGCGGGCGGTAGCTACCCAATGAAGCTACGAGGGCTTCTCCCACCGTCGGATGAGGCCCCTGGCGCTCCAACCTACGCCAATCGGTCAGAAGCTTAGAACCGGTGAACTGCCTCATCCCGTGTTGTGCCGGAATCTTGCAAAGAACCGCTGGAGTGACCTCTCCAGTTTGCGCTGAAAGCCTGGGCGGGTTAGAATGGGGACGCTGGGTTGCCCACACTTCAGTGTCCCCCTCTCGGTTCCGCTGGCTGAGTCCAAGGGAAAGGGTGAACCTTTACAATTTGGAGCCAGTTTCACTGCAGGAGCTGCCGGAAGGTAGTGCTGTGCATCTGCCTTTCGCCTTAGGGGCTCCACTCCGGATTTAACCTCGAGGTTTACTCCTGAAGCTTTTCCTGCTATCAGGTATAGCCACAAAGCAGTGGAGGTTTGAAATCAGGGTTTTCCCTCCCCTAGATGGGTTGCCTTCACCGCGGCTAAAGAGCCCCATCTACCCTGAAGTAGTAGTGATGCAGTGTAAACATCACCCCCTCACGTGGTTTAGCCCGCCAGCTGAGGCGGTGTGCCGGGGTGTGGCGCTTGGAGCCAGCACGAGAGAGATTTAGGAGATGGATGAGGACCAGTGTGCCAGTCCACCCTACCAAGTAGGATGCAGCTGCCAGACAACAAAGGTACTACCTCTATCCAGAGCCCCCTACACCCCAACGGCCTGACTACTGAAATTATTAGTACTTAACTGGTTATCTGACTGATCAACTTCCTTCCTCACTTACTGGTGAATCAGTGGTTTAGTGACTGGTGACTGACTGGCTGACTAACTGGTTGACTGACTTACTGGTAGTTGGGTGGCTATCTGATTGGTTGA